TGCGTTGCGTTTAAACGCGCAGAGAGAGAGAGAGAGAGAGAGAGAGAGAGAGAGAGAGAGAGAAAGAGAGGCCCTCGACAGGATTAAAGCCGAGAACACACAGAAAGATATAAGCCATAAGACTCGAACAGTAAGCAAACTGTCCAACCGCAACTGATTGTTCTTCATACAATCCAAGAATAGTCGATTGCGATTGATCAATTTTCTTACTGCGTATGTTTTAAAGAACTTTAAGCATCAAAAAGTTATGTAAATCCTAAAGTAAAGACGAGTAAATTTTACCCAGCGTATTTTCATTCGCTCAGAACTTCTGTAAAAATGATAAACATTCAATACTATTTTTTTAGCAGTGTAGAAAATCGAGGAATATGGATTTATCAGTGTTTTTGCGATCTAAAAATGTTATAAACAGAAGTTAAAAAACAGAACACATGTTTTTAAGAACAGTTTGGACAGCTGGTCTGGGCAAATTTTACCTATATGTAGGGGTTAAAGTGGTCTAGTTTAAATAATAAAAAGTTTTCAACTCGTATCCATATCTTTGATATTTTCTTTCCATTTAATAATACATCAATGTCTCTAGCTCCACATTGCCTCTATGCAATCATGATATAGATCGGGGTAGCGTACACACTGATGTGTTCATATTGCGCATCATTTCTTTCATTGCTTTCATGTGACGGTAAAATACCAACTCCACTAGATCGATCATGGTGTATCGCTGTATCAATGTTTGATACGCGAATACGCGATACGAGTCCAGACGCGGTTTTGGTTACGTTTCTCTGTTCGCCTGAATTGAAGAGTTGAAAAGTCGGGTTACTATACTTTTCCATCTGTGACATTTGCGCAAGATAATAAATTCACTCGTCGAATGTCGCGTTATATACGTTATGTCCGCCGTTATGTACGGTCGAGTCCCTCGCGCATCGAGTGGCGGTCGCGACGTGCGTTTTCGTAAAAAATTTCATTCCGTCCGCTCCGCTTTGACTTCAGTCTCGGTCACGGTACATGCGAGGTATACGCACGACATTGATGTTGCTGCTGACTACGCAGCAGCAGCAGCAGCAGCATCTGGTCGCCTGCAGCCGCGCGTCGCGTCGCGGAATGCACGCAATGCACGCGAAATAATGGCCGATAATGGGTGCCGGTGCGAAACGACTGACGTTAATGTCTCGACGCATGCAGAAATTCGCGGGAGCGCACGGAGAAAGGCGAATGATTGCACTCCGTTGCTATCGATTTGGCAACGATTGATAAAGTTGAAACTGCAACTATAACTCAATTAAGCGCGCTAGTACGCGAGTAACGCCGTTGCCTGGATTTTAAACTCCGAAAACGAGGGGTGATATATTAATTTATATGTAGGTGGTGTTGTATGAATATCGCTCTCTTTGTGAACAATATTCAACAATTATATCCGTACGTAAAGCGTGCGTGAATATTATGTACGTTATGCAAGTAATGTTCTCTTTCTTTTTTCTCTCTCTCGCGACTGACGCAAAACATTTTTGATCAATACGAAATACCCATCTAATGAAAATAAAAATTTTTGAATAATACGAAATACCCATCTAATGAAACAATATATTGAGAGTGACGTATATGTGTATATACTATATCTATGAATGCAAACACTAATAAATAAGTTGATTGATTAATTAATCCATCAAGCTAAACGAATAACAATAAATTCACGCACACGAGCGTATCCACATGTGACGCGGCACGCACAAGGGTCAAATTGAAAAACTAATTTTTTCTATAAATAAGTTAAATGAATATAATAAAATACTGATACGCATCTCAGCCGTGACATTTCGTATCGTTTCGACGGTAAAGAGAGCGTGTCCCGAGCTTTGTTGGCTTCGTTTAAAATTACCCGAGTGAACACCATTTCAAAAGGTCCTTGACAAGCCGCGCCCTACGTTTGTTACTTTGCACGAAGGAAAAGGTCGAACATTAAAATTCTGTCCGTGCAATTAATGCACCGTGAAACAAGACACAGTGAGAATGCATTTTTGCGCGCGCGGTAACACACCAACGTGTGCACGCCGTTCAAGGCGATTATACGTCCGATGAATTACGCGATCTTAATGTCCGGTTGCAGCCTTTATGGATGCAATATACGCATCCCGATCGATAGCCAGCATCGACACCGCGCCTTATACGCGACTGTAAACCGCAACCGCAGTTGTTTCTCGAAAAGAGCCGCATTATACTGAACGTAAGAATTTTTAATTGGGTTAATGGAGAAGAGTAAACACAAGGCGAAATGGCTTTCGATCGTCGGGTCGTTATCGAGACGAGGGGACATTAACGGAAGTAATCCCCGTCACTTCGGTCCCTCTGCTGGCTGTCTTCTTGAGATACAATTACGCAAGTTTCGATGGGCCTTGATGGAGAAGTGATATAAAGTATATAGTATATCGTAACAATAACTGTATTTCACCGATGCGACATTTATACAACACGCGCGTCGAAACGTTCGTTTAATTCCTTTTCGCCACTAACGGAACATGTGATTTTTTTCCACCATTAATAATTAATAATCTTATTCAATAAAATAGTTTTTTTTTAGAGAAGAGAGATATTCATATTACTCTATTCATTACTATCGTGACAAATATGTTTTCCTAAAACCTAATGAAACATGAATATCTCAGCATCCTATTCCTTCGGCATGAACATGAAATATGAAACTTTCAATTTTTTTTGCTAAAACCACATTATATATTAGTATATTTAATAAAGTGAAAGTAAAAAAACTGTACCTTTGAAAACAAAAGTGATAGAGAAAAGATTAAAGAGAAAATGAAATGTTCACGATGTGCATTCCTCCGAGCCATTTTGACATATTGTTACTTAAGGAGTTTATTCACCAGATGTGTATTTTTAGTGGCGTATTAAAAAAGGCTACTCACTATATATAAAAATATATTTACCGAATAAAATTACCTTCTTATATATTTGCTTTACTATCTAAATAATGTCGCGATACTACTTCTTGCCATGTTTTATTTATTATCAGTACAATATTATACTACGCATAAAATAGCAGTTTTCTAGTCTACAATCGACTATTATACAACAACAATATAGCGAATACTATTCTTTCTTCTATGCCACGTTTCCTAACATTTATAACGGTAATTTTTTATTTGAATGGGATTAATTTTTACAAAATTACACTAAAATATATAATACACTAAAACTTATCTATATTGCTTCTGCCACAAGATTATATGTGCAAAATTGCGACATCCAATATTAAATGTTGCGTAAACGATGCGAATAAGTCGTATAAAACTTCAACTACAAATATAATCTATTGTGATAAGTATTACGTGAAATTTTTGTATAATCTTAGACACTTTAAGTGAATAAGCTCCTTGAGACAACGAGAAGCAGATGAAATAAGCTCGCTGAAATCGGCGCGAATAATGACGCAGCGAAACACACTGCAAATACGGCCGATGGGTTATCGATCTCTTTGAAGGTTGCACATAATGTGTATGGTACGCATGTGTATGGTATGTGTATAATTCCGTGTAATGCAATTACTACTGCGATAAATTACAATCACGTCGAACTATCGGCGTCATTCCCCGCAATCTACTTAATTGCGGCGTGATCGAAGTCGTCGGAGCGTGTTCAATTAATAGGTAACATTACCAGGAGAACGTAATATTTCGAGTAAAAAGCATCTCATTCGTCATCGCGGAGAAATTTAACGAAAGATCCCACTTACACTCACTGACTTTCAGTTTCCAATTTTGTACTTTGGATGTCTTGGCAATTAAGCCTCAAATTAACATTACCATTATGAAGTCTAATTTACTGTCGACGGATTGTTTCATCTGGTAATACAATACTGGATTTTAACATTTTGCTAGTCGGTTTGCAAAACCAAAATGAAAAAAAACCGGAAAACAAATGTATTAAGAACGTATTAAGAATATATTATTAAAATATTTTGCAGTGATGTTTTGCCGATTGAGCTCTCTTCTATTGTGCGCTTGTGGGAAAATATTTTTCACATCTGCCCGAAGTAAATTAAGCTACGAATATAAAAGCTCCGCAGAGAACGTTCTCGTACATCACGTACCGCATAATACCGCGTGCATTTATTTAATTTCGCATAAAACGACACAAAAGTCTCTCACTCCTCTCTTTCTCTTTTGTGTGTAATACATATAACCATGGTAACCTACAATTAAAACAGCAACGACTTGCATAAGCTCGCACATAACTCACTTGTATGCGTGTATGTGTGTATATAATCTCGTGTTTGAACTTATTAATTAAAACTAAATAATGCTCATACGCTACTTTGTTTAAACGATTTCTCGTATCAATAAATATCACGAATTACCAACTCTCTCCGAAATAATCTCCAAAATCAAGATTTTCATATTCAGACCTTAGAAATTATTAAAAATTATGTTACTAAGGAAACAATTGCGTAACACAGTGATCCGAGGAATCTTGGAAGAAAAATCGGTCTTTCCAATCTCAGAGAAGATTTTTTTCCACGCAATTACAAAGTACATTAGTTCACTTGTTCCTTCGATAGATTTGAAATACTCATTAAATTGTTCTCCCTCCTCTAATGATGAATACAAATGTGAACATAAATGAAGAAAGAGAGATTTCTCTTGATGAGTAACGGCAATGACGCAATATAACATAGTGGCACGTGTCACACTTTACCAATCCAAACAGTCAAGAAATGTGGGAGGAATAAACAAGCCTACGCGATGCTACTGTTGGCGAGTGAAACGTCAACAATTGAAATTGCTTCTCCATGATCTACAGCGGTAAAGTCGATGACTTTATGGCGATGGACGAATGAATTCGCGTGTCTTCTATTTATACACCTATCCGAGATACTGCGTCAATAAAATTTCGGAACTTCACGAATCTCGCAATTGCGTACGCGCTGAAAACAAATTTAGTCTCTCAATGAATAACACAAACTGCTTGCTTCTGTGTTTCAGAAAAATCGATGCGAGTCCGGACCACATATTGGATTCTGCATTCAGCAGCCAGAGGTAATGAAAAGGTCATCAAAAGTCAATTATAAATAATCATCGATTGAAACGTGCATTGAAATCGCGAACGTGTGCTACATCGTTCTTTTTCATATTACGTTTCTCACACATAACTTTCAATCATTTTTAAGCTCAAGAAACGAAAATATATAAATTACCTTAGCTTTAATTTGCATAATTCAAATTTAACGAATCAAACGCGAAAAACTTCTCAGACGTGACTACCGTGAATAACGAAAGGACGCGAGTTCTCCAAATTCATAATGTCGAAACCCATTAAAACACTCATTACGATAATGCGCACCGTTAACAGCTTCAGTAAGACCTTAATGTGAACCAAAATCCGCGCGTGTGTCACGTTTATGCGAAGTCATTAGAAGCTCGAAAAACTGAATAATTAAAGTCGCAAAGAATCCTTGACCCAGTTATTCTGAATATAGCCGTAGCCAGTTCGGTGGAGAAAGGAAAAGTATTATTGGATCTTCACGGTCGAACGAATTCGCTTAACCAAGAAGTCGAGACAATGGAGGGATGGAGCCCCGACTTTGTCATGACATGGCGACAAAGTGGAGGGAACTTTCTAGATATAACATTAGCTCTCACATCGACAACAAAATATACGGAACAAAATTGGAGTACGAGACAAGAGAGAGGGAGAGAAAAAATACGAGATGTTAATGCCGAATTGTGTAGATGTGTAATGCGATCCGTGTCTATATTTTGTGATCGACAATTTTGACACAGCGTGCACGTGATTTATCGCTGAGTTCACATCAGATACAATGTTTCATCGACGTGTCGGCCGAAGAATGGATATTAAAAGCGCGCCTATGAATATTTACCGAAATCCGCGAAATATCGGCATATCATATTTGAGCAACAGTGCGGAATTACCTTCAATTCTGTCACACATTAAAATTACTCGAATTATCCTATCATTGATTTTTAGATTTGGCGCACATCGATAACGCAAAACTATTCGAGACGAGATTGTCTTCGTTCAAGACAAAACACCAAATATGATTCGTTTCAATCAGCATTTATTTCTGTTTTAAAATAAAATTTATCAAACAATTTCCATTTCAGATGAGAATTTCATTTTTCCTGTCATAGTATTGCGTACACAGAAAGTATCTTTTTATTTACATTTTATTACGCGTACACCCCGTTATATATTTTATCGTGCTTTAAAACGCTTCTACTTTTTGGAAGGGCTGACTGTTTGTATTTACTTTAAAGCGTTTCTGTTTTTCGACTATCAATTGTACGTCAACGATATTGAAGTGCGCACAAAAAAAAGGTAATCTAAAACGTGACAAAGCGAAAACGTTTTGTTTCTGAACAGATCCGCTGTGTCGATGTGCATCCAATGATAAACTCTTTAACGTTCTACAAAAAAACGTATATTGTCTCTCAAAAGAAATATACATTCAAATAAATTTTATTATGATAAATTAACTCCACACAAATAGAACTTTGCTATTATGTTGAGGTTCCGCGCGCGACGATTTATAATACGATGTTTTAAAGAGGGATACGGACGTATCTTTATGCTGGAATTGAAATCTTTAGCGATAGAATACTTGACTTTCTTTTTATAAAGCTTACGTTGTATTTCTATAAAGTTGCTTTCTATAAAGCTTATGTTATATTCGCTCCATAGAATTACAAATGCTCTTACATGCTTAGAAGTACGTGCGAGGATAAATTGAAGTGTAGCTTAACATATGAAAAAACGATAAAGAATATAAAAGATGACATTTCCAGTGTAAATTATCCTGTCAAACGCTGTTAAAGTAAATATTCACCCAAAAGATTCATACAAAAGATGTACAGCTTGCAAATATTGAACGCGAGTTCGTTCCGCTCAGAAAAATGTCAAAGAACACTGCTGTAGCTTTACATCTGAATTCAAAAGCTTAAAAATATCGGACAAGCTTGTGAAAAAATTTCTATATATGTGGTTAGATTTTCCTCTGAATGTGGAAAACAAAGCAACACATCTATATAGGGTAAACTCGGATATGATGGCCATACCGGAAAGATGGCCATAGGCTGTAATTTCTCAAATAATTGCAAAAAATTGCGTTTGTGTAATCAGTCACAAAGATAATCGATATTTATCGTAGCGTATATACGTACATTTTTCGAAATAGCAAGATTATAAATATTATACTATATTTTTATTTTCGACTACCTATAAAATTTCTCATGTATCCACTAAAACTTGCTGTAAATTCGAATAGATTACAGTTAAGCTATCGCAATCAAGATACATAAAGTAGATATGTAAATTGTAATATAACATGCACTTTTATTCTCATTTTTACTATTTTTACTATTTTTTATAAGTACTATTATAACCGTCTTTCACTCACATTTTAGGTAAGATGGCCACTATCATTCTAACATTTATAAAACAAAAGTCATTATATTTCAAAAATTACTTTCAATATTACAGTAATTAAATCTTATGGGCAATATGTTTTGATCAAAAATTGGATTTAAAATTTAAGTTTTATAATAGAGATTTCTATTTTATATGTATATTATATTTTATATGTATATTATATTTTTTACAAATAATATGTATTAAATATCCTATATTAAAATGAATATATCAAATTATATTTGTTTCATTATTTTATAAAATAATAGATACAGAATCTTGAATATTCCTTATGGCCATCTTGTCTTAAACATTTAGATAAGATGGCCAATGTTCATATTTTGATATTTTTGTAATAAATAATTTCACTAAAGTATTTTCTTTTTAACTCTGATGGTATTATGTAGGCTTCAATGAAATAATGTGTCAAACGCTATTAAGAAATAACAATAAGAAATATATATATTTTTTTAAAGTATGGCCATCTTATCCGAGTTTACCCTGCAAGCAAGATCTATACAAGAAGTATACAAGAAATATGAAAGGGATAGCGTGACTGTATTAGTGTAACGCTCGTCTCTACATCGACATTTTTGGAGTTCGTCGTTGATTGTAGCATATTCTTAAGCACGGTAAATTCAGCTCTTATCTGTTATCTATTAAATAACGTTAGCAAATAACGTTAGCAAGAAGTAATTCCACGCTCTCTCACGCGAAAAGAACATCAAAGAGCGTCAGCCGTAAGGATATAATAGGATCTTCGGTTAACTCGTCATAAATTCCACTTTAGCGCGTCATAACGCCGAGGTATATCTTACGGACACCACACCGGTAAGTATACAACGATATCGCACGAAGTTTGATTAATGCGCGCTTCGCATTTAATTTAAAAAACGCGTCTCTTGTCAGAGCAATGGCGTCAAGCGTCGCGCGGTGAACTCCGTTGTGGAGTTTAATTAAAGCGCGTCGCGCTGATACCGGCGTGTTGCTTTCTAAGAGACGGTGTTTGGATTAATCAACATCTCTCGCTTCGTTGGAAAGAGTCAATAATGGCCGACGATACGTGTGCCGTGAGTATCGATCGCGTGTGTCCCGCCGCGTGTGTTAAACGCATCGATCGCCTACGTGAATTTCTTTCTCGATTCTGCCGCGACAGGACGCACGTAGGATGGCTTTCTGTTGAAGCGACGACAGGACCAGATTCGACGAGTGAAATGACGAAAGGCCGCGTCGCTCTTGCGCTGGTAACACACACAATTCGGATTTGAGAAGGAATTTAGAGGGATCTCATTGTTGCCGGGCCAACGCAACGCGCGACAAGCGCATTAGCACGCAACATGACGGCTTTTAACTTGACTTATCTGCGTTGAGGGCGTAAGACGCGTATACACGCGTTAATGTGCACGACAAAGCCAGCGCGTGCGGCAGAGAGTTGTTAAGCCGATTGCGGCCTTAGCTGCCGCTGTCGAATGCATACGGACGAGAGGCGCGAGATTGTAATGGCGTTTGAGATAAGCGTTTTAACGAACCATTATCGACTAATCGGGACGCCAAATAATCGCTATTGAATTTATCATCGCTAATTATCGTGCGAAAGTCGGACGCGCGCGATAAATACTACTGCTAGGCGCGGCTTTGATACAACGTAAAACGAGTGCGCACGCGATCACGGCCGAATAATTTCGCGAAACAAATCATTTATTTTAATTGTAACTTACGGTCGATTACTCGTGCAAATTGCCTGATCAGCGGCAACGTCACGGTTAATTGCTGCCGCATATTAAATAATAGAGATAGCGTTAATGCTGTTGATCGGCGCCACACGTTTGTTTTGCGAAAAAGGCCGCGGAAATCAAATAATAACAACAATATCCTGATGTGGATGCATGCAGTACAGCCGACCGCGTTCAAATAAGCATATTCGCACGCGAGCACGCGTTGCAGCATTATGGCCAAATGAACCCGTGTGCTCGAGAGACGGGCAAAATCCCGGGAAAATTGACAACTCGCCTGATAAACTGCAAACGGAATGAAGCAGATTAAAGCCGCGCGCCGTTCTCTCGGCATTACAATCGTCACTAACTGTTGTGAGGACCGCCGTGAGGCGAATTAGTCGACAGACTGTCTTCAGGCCGGATGCAAAAGCTCGGCGGCGACGTCGTCGAGACAATAGAAGATACGATAAACGTTTGCCGAGAGCTTTGCCAGATTTACGAGGTCTCAAATCGTGCAATAATCATACTTTGGTGGAGAGCGTCGGGATTATTCTACATACGAGAGGGTTTTATAACAAAAATTAATATAAAATTTTAACCGAAGAATAGATCGACATTCTGTTGTAATTGACTATCCTTTCGTCTCACGTGCATCATATATATTTTAGGAACTAAAATATGTTATTAAAAAATGTATTAATTTCTAACGAAATTTGCTATGTTCCTTAGCAAGATAGCCCTTATTGACAATTTATTCCTGAACTACTCAAAATATAGCAAAATTAAGAAAAATTTTCATGAAAAGAAACTATTCTCTCTCTCTCTCTCTCTCTCCGTATATATACGCAAAAACTCTGACTGTCAATGGCTGCGTTCAGAAAACATAGTTGATCAGTGAGCGGTCAGTGATTATTGGTCCTTACTGTTAGATCCCCAACTTTAGACCAATTGCGTTGACTAATTACTCAACCGTTGTGCAACAGTTGTGTCTTTTGAACGCACCCAATGCTAGTTTACGACATATGCAGTGAGCTTGGCATAATTCGGGATACAAAATAAAAATAGTTTACTTTACTTTTGCCTAGTTTTTAAGTTTTTAAATTTTAAGTTTTTTACACTGAAGGTATTTCTCTTACTCAAGAGAAAGGGACGTAAGGAAGAGAAAGTATAAGAGGGCGTAAGCAAAATCAATTATTTTTATTTCTTACTCCGAATTATACCAAATTTACTCCTCATACGGCGCCTTAATCGTTACATTATTACGAAATAATATCTATGTCAAAAGTCTCGTATTTTGCGCACGACTCTTGTATGTACAACGGTGCAGTTGCGCTAAAGCATTATGCAACGGCAAATATTAGCCACCGTAGTTCTGGCGAATGCCTAAATGTAAAATACAATAGACGCGTTTGCATTTGTACGTCACATCTTGCGCTTAGAATATTATATTCCGCAAGAAATATAACGCGCGTACGATATTATATTACCAGTTCGGATTCAAGTAAAGCGAGATTTATTTAAGTGTCGCAAATGTGTTGCACACATGTACAGATGTATGAAAGAATATTGCTTGCATACTGCAATTATAGGATAACGAATTCATTAAGTAAATTCGCAATTCCCACTCAGACGCGAATAAGATTTTATACGGGCGAGCTTTCCTTTATAATATATCTCACAACGAAAGGGAGTTACACGGACTGCAATATTCTACAAAATGTCGTTCGGATCTAACATATGTGTTTTTCAATTTCATCTTATCTTAACATGAAACGTTTTCCGGTCTACAGGGTATACAAGAAGTCCTCGCCGAATAATAAGTTGACACTATACTTAGCAAGCAGAGATCTTATTGTGAGCGATTCCAAGATCGACAAACTCCAGGGTGTCCTTTTGGTCGATCCTGACTACTTACAGGATAAAAAGGTAAAACGACAATGAAAATAAAGACTTATCGGAAAAGATATTGGCTTCACATTGCGGTTACCTGGAATATTTAAAGAAAAACACGATGAACAAATAATTAAATTTGATATTTTTCACGAATTGTTTTTTCCCAAAATATTAAATATTCTTAAATAACTCTGGTATATATCCGTCAAAAGACTTCTCATATACTCGAGCACATATTGAATCTGGAAATATCAAGTTCAGTGATTGGAATAAAACTTCTCGGATTCGTAAAGAATCCCGATCATTTCCGACGTGTAGATATAATGTCGGATCTAACAGAAAGATTTCCCACGACGTATCTTTTGATCCGAGATAATTAATACTCGACTACAAACTGTAAGTTTTTCGATTCGCGGAAAATAAGGATTGAAAGAAAGGAAGAAAGAGACAGAATGAAAGCTAATACCATATCAAGTTTCCTGGAATTCCAAGAAAATCTGGAAAATCCTGGAAAATCTGCTTACTTATCTATTTACTTATCTGCTTTTGAAACGCGATATATTATGAAATATTTCTGTAATATAAAAATGCGTTTCGACCACTACAATACTTTGGCTTTAATTTCCTTTATCTCGCGATACAATTGAAACGTGTAACAAGTTTGTAATACCAGCAAATTGTCGTATTTTCATTGCGTTAAATCATCATGTTAAAAATGATGAACTATATTCGTCATTCAAACTACATGATGAATTATATTCATCATTTTTAACTAAATTATATTCTTCTTTTCGTGAAGGTGTACGGCCAAGTGACGCTAACTTTCCGCTACGGCAGAGAAGACGAGGAGGTAATGGGCCTAAAATTTTGCAACGAAGCGGTCATGTGTCTAGCTCAACTGTATCCACCTTATTCGGGCGCCGATTATCAGGAGAACATGACTCCGCTGCAGGTTGGTGCGCTAAAATATCGTAATAGCGAAATTATATCGCCGATATTACCGGCTCAACCGTAAAGAAAATAAATTCACGAATCAGTTCGATGTGTTGCATGACAATTTCAGGACGATTTAGAGCGTGCTGTTCATGCACACGTGCTGAAACTCGCATCATCGTTAAAAGTAGACATATTCGCAGCACGTCTTAACTGCCCGATGTGAAATATAGTCGAGATGCCGCCCAAGGATTTGGGTTATGGTATAAATGGAATTTATGCGATTAAGCCGTATCGTATTAAAGGAATCGTGATTTGTGGAACTTAGTAACTAGTCGGACCGTTCTATTTAATGACGCGATACGACCGTTGTCAGATGTATACAGGATGTTTGATGTTTTAAGTAGATTAGGTCAAACTGAAGAGTTTACACACAAGTTCCTTACCATTTTGCAAATAACCACGTAGATTTTTAACTACTGACCAAAGAAGATTGGCAGATGATAGTCGCGCGCAATGATGCATCAATGTTTTTTAATTAATAACTACAAATCTACGTGATTATTTGTAAAGTGATAGATAATTGTTTGTATTTTTAATTTAAATTAATTAAAAATTTTACGTGGTTCCGCAAAATGTTCGAGTAATTCTGTGTTCAGTTTGACCTAATTCTCATGAGGTATGGGATATTTAGCGTCAGACACCCTGTATACTGAATCACGAAACGGTTTGGACGCATTTCAAGCATTGAATGCATATTGCAGCGCTTCAAGATATCAAAATTGAGAGGCACTGCTGACGCATTTGCGTATGAATTGGTTATGACAGGAACCGAAGTGACAGTACAGGGTGTGAAAATAAACGTAAGATAACGTGACGACATGCTAATACATGTTAATACATCCTGTACTGTCACTTCGACTCCTGTCATAACCGATTCATACGCAAATGCGTCAGCAGTGCCTCTCAATTTTGACATCCTGAAACGCTGCAACTTCAGTGCTCAAAATGCCTCCAAACCGTTTTGCGACTCAGAGTACATACTCGACAGAGGGAGAAACAAGCGTCCGGCTGTCTGACTGTACGGCTGTGTACGGAGTTTCAAGCGTTCTGAATTGCGCTGCATCGCAATTTCGCAGCAATATATCTCGAACAACGGAATATTCGATCTAATCAAACCTAAGAGATATCTTGACGCCAGGAAATATTGATAATCCTTAAGTACCTCGTAAGAAAGACGAGGAGTGGTGAAATGATAAATGGATTTCCGACCGCAAATCCGATTATATCTTCATTATACTCTCGCGCGATTATCTCATCAGCAGTAATAATGATCTTCTTTACTTTCGTATGAAAAGCAGAGTTTGATACTCATGATATCCATCAGCACAACGGGTTTGAATTTGGATGTCGCGACGAAGGAAAGAAAAATACACGGTCAGTGTATTTAATTTGTGGCGATGAATACGCGATAATTAACGCAGAGGATATGCGTCGCTGTGCCTACGGGGACGACCGGTAATTACTGGCAAGACACTCTGTACGGGTCGTAACATCGCGAGTAAATTGGAACTCGCTTCGCGAGCAAACCGCGCGTGTTGTATCGAGCACGCGCGAAATGATTTCAGCGAGCCGTCGATTAAACCTCGCGACTTCAAACGATGTCTCGCGGTTATTTCCTCGTCGCACGCCTGGTTTTTATAGGCGCACAAATCGCACACGCAGCCAGCTTCGAGCGGGACTCAGTGGTGCACGATCATAAAACTTGGAATTCGGGCACAAAGGCGTCGCTGATTACACCGTGACACATCCTGGAAATTTATACGGGCGCAACGCGCAAGAAGGCGAAAATAATTTTACGCTTAAACCGACCTCGCGCGACAGCGCGGCACATACACGCGCGCACGCACGTACGCACGCATGTGACGGACTACACACGTGGCGAAATGCACAGGGAGAGAGAAACTTGTGGGGCGGCAGGTTGAAAAAAATGAGAGACAGATGTATCAGTTGCACGGCCACAAACAGATCCCATCTCGAGGATCCTACGTAAATTTAACTAATTAATTCCTATTAACGAGTTTGTTTAGATCACAGGAAAGCGAGAATAAAGTTTGCTCGTTAACGATGCTAATAATTTTTGCCGTAGGCGTAATTAAAAATAAATTTAGTTCAAACTTCCATCTCTGCTTCCCGACACGGAATTATTTCGCATCTAACATTATAGGGGAAAGAGAGAGAGAGAGAGAGAGAGAGAAAAAAAAGATCGGTAGTGTCGTTTTAAGTCGGTTTTAATATTATAAACGTCGAAAACGCTTATGATAGAATTCGTTATATAAATTTACGAGTCTTCAATCTTAATAATGCAAATCTCGTAATCTTCGATAATTCGCGATGACGCACCGATGGCCAAACATATATCAATGATCTCGATAATACAACCTTCCCAGCTGCATCTGAATTTCATTTTCGTGTGGAGCCAATAATGCATCTGTCTCAATTAGGCAAGCCATTGCGCTGTACGGATGATTGAAATTAACATGACATGTGAAAGGGATGGAGCCAAGCTTCGATTTTGCAATCTCAACGAAGGCATGTTGAGTTGCCGGTAATACGACCCGATGAAATAGATCTTCTAATCTTTTGATTATTCTTTATCAATAAAGGTGTATATCGTCCGTGTCGTCGGTGTCTCATAGCGACTTGAGACCATGGACCTTTTCTAGGGGTCGTAACATGAAAGTGGGATCAGTCGAGGGAGACCGAAATTCTCGGCGAAAATGGGAGAACCTTCATGAAGACCCATACTGTAAGCGATGTCGGAGCTCCGCGAAAAATTCTCTTCGCGAACGAAGCGCAAAAGGGATCGCTACGATGAGTTTCCAGATAGAAGAAAACCATCACGACGAAAATATCTCTATCCAAATTTTTCGAAACGTCCTTTATGAAGGAAATGAGACGTCAGTCGGGCTTAGACTCGTTAAGTTGTCACGCGTTAATTCAGATCAAAGAAAATCAACATACGTGACCGAGAAAATTAGAGCGTGTCCGCTATCAATATGTAGAACTTAAATATACAAATATTTGTTGGATATGACACGAATGTGCAAAAACAGTGTCGACAGTCAAGCAAATTGGTACAGCATGGCCACAGCTTTAATAGCGACGGAGCAATGTTCCACTGTAAGGCGTATTAATAGCGCACAAGTAAAGTTCCTCTTTAAAAGAACCGGCCTGATCTTGTCTCATAGTAACACAGTTACTAACATTACCTTACCTTTATTTCAGTAGCAGACTAAAAGCGAAATTAACGCGCGATATAAAGTGTGATACAGAGTTCAGGTATTAGATAAAAGATAAATTCGTGTGTAGAACATATATATACGCGCGAGCGGGAAAACGCGCCAATTATAAATCATAAATCAACTGTGATATTTTGATATCATGCAGGCTTCTTTTTCTCTCTTTATGTACATCTCGTGCCGATTTTATATTGATTATTCTCGATGCATCGATGGGAAACCATGACAATCATCGCGATATTCATGGGTTGCGTTCACGTGACAACGACATATTCTTTGCAACGTAAATATCGATGCAGAATAAATTTAATTAAAAACCTCCATTTTTTTCTGCCGATGCAAGTATGCTCAACAGAATTATCGAGTCGTCGACAAATGGAGAAATGAAGAAACTTTGCGTAAAAAACTCCAATGAAAATCAAATATGCGTCGTGTAAATTCGTGCGTAATACGCGAAGGAACTGCCGGCACTTGCCGCGGACGGTGAAGACGCGAGGAAATTGCAAATTGTATTTTATGCCCGAGAAAAATATGACGTTAAACAGAATTCTCTCTTCTCTCGAGACGCGCAACACAACGCGATCACACGATAATATACGCGTTCTAAAAAGAAAAGTACTTCACATAGCTTCAACAAGCATACGCAAATTTGATATTCTTGTAATAGCCGATATTGTTGTCAATTTATTAGCGGATATGATTAAATTTAGCCTTACACATCCGATTATTATTATATTTATATCTATTATAATTATAATATCTACGATATTACATTACTATTCGTACATAGAATTGAGCGAGATTGATATATATTTTAGTATTATCATTCCCCATTTATACACTTTGATCATTACTATTTCTCTTCTATTGTTATTATTTCCTATATAAATAATACTTTGATGAGCAATATTGTGTAATCTCATATAATCTCATATATTTTGTGATTATTGCGATAATAATGTATTCTCTCTTTCAAAAAATAAAGAGGCAAGATGTGCACACAGACATGTACACAACAACCTTCGGAGAAATTACATAATGTCGGAAACGACTGCCGATCGATAATACCGTAACAATACTACGAGTGAATTTTCGTTCAAGGAGAGCACTCGAAAGGGAGCGGGCAGAAACCAGTTTGCCGGCCGAGGAAAATTTGAAATCCTCGACAAAGCCTCGAGTACATATGACAGAAACCGTCCTCGAGGACACGACCATGACCCCGACCTAACGTGGCAGAAGGTCTCGTGCGCAGGTTGCCGCGGAACGGAAATTATTTATCGCGCCTCGCTTTTCTTTCGCGGCCATTTGACAGCGAAGATACACATTTCAATGCGGCATCCATTAAGTGTGAATTACATGAAACGACGTCCCGCTATCGATTCCAAGATGAACACGACGCGCGCATGGCAAACGCTTGAAGATACATCAGACGAATGAAAGCGCGCTCCAGAAAGGTCGGAAATATATAATAACGTCTTCGTGCTCAAGTATTTGACGGCGAACATGGTTCGCGCGACAGATCGGGGGAGAATTAGCCCGACTGAATGCCGAGGATCAATCGCGTTAAAATTATCGAGAGTAAAGACGCGTAAAACTGATGCTCGCGTACAAAATGCACTTCGCGTTCATCAATCAGTTTTAATAAAGAAAAAAAAAACATTTCATGTTAGATGTCAAAGTGCCACGAATTTCGCGTGTACATCGTTCACCATTCACATCTACACGCAGACAGTTGACCGGCCAAAGAAATAAATTGCAGTTAGCCGCGTTCTGACACACGCGTGGGTCAAAAATATTCCCGAAAAACGCGAAAATCACCATAGTATAACGTCAAAGATTTTTATTTTGTTATCGCCAATAACTTTCTTAGTTGATCCGTTAAACTCGATAAAAAAAGGTATAAATGGAGTATGAGACGGTAATAAAAATTAATAAATGCCCCCCCCCCCCAACATCGCGACGAAATAACGACGATTAATTATCAAGAATAGTAAGAGAGATATAAAATTAACTCGTCTATATTTATATCTGTATATTTTTGTCTCGTAAACGTTTGTTTTACTTATAAATATTTTCTGAGTTTTCAAAATTATATGACCACACGATAACACCAAGATACCATTAACGCTTCGGCTCTCCCTCGATCAAGCCGAATATAATTATGCTGATGCACAAAAGTAATTTTATAGCTCATTACGACTAATAATATTATTGTCATAGGAAACGCTAATTACCAAATAATAGAATATTAATAACATGTTCGGAAAGAAAGAAGAACTATAATTCAAGTAGCGTGTTATATGTTGGTACTCTTTAACTTATCTTTTACCTCTCTTAGAACGATACTCTCAAAATTCGTATCACGAAATTCTATTACACGATATGCAGGAAGATTTATGCCATTACATATTGTTATATTCGGCACTGTAAGCCGATATTGAAGATATATATTTTCCATAACAATATGACGCTTTCCGACAAGTACGGCGAATGGTTGGAATCATTTCTTTGAATGCGAAATCCTGAAAGATGAAACGCAACACAATGCTGACCACGGGAATCTGACCCAAATACATATATCGGGCTTAAAGCGACGTAAGAAAGTAATCCCCGTTTACGAGAGATTTTATAGAATTGTTGACATACTTCTAGCTCTAAAAGCGAACCGGATAAGAATCCGAAGCGTTTTTAAACAACGAATTTTATTCGCTGCCGAATTTATAACTGGACGAACGGAGAAACGAATTTGTTCAGCCAACGATATGATCACTCGAGGATTGTCTCTCTTATTTCGCGAAGATTATAAAACACGATCATGAGACTCGATAAGACGTGCAAATCAATTACACGTATTCAAATGTCCGCGCAATGAAAATGTCTCGCGTTAACGATATTAACGTAAATATTGCAGATCTCTATATTCTTCCGATAGAAATCGAGGTCACCTCAGTCTCCTGTGCACAGAAGTACAAGTCCTCATATCTTATTCGTACCTTTTTCTTCCGTTAAGGATTTCAAACGCGGACATATTTTTACATCATATTTCCCACATCACAGATATCACAAATCTCGTCGACGGACGGACTCTATCTCGAAACGACCGCGTCGCAGGGGAGAAGCCGAAAGAATTCTAAACTCTATTCAATGCAAAATCGAGCGGAATAACGTAACGCGACTCGACCTCGCTAACCAGCAGCCGACCCTGGCCCGCATCATCTCCCTGCAGAGACAGTCTCATTTTCACGCGCGTGTGCGCAGTCGATCCGCTATCTTGAATCCTTGAGCTGACAGGGACAGGATAACGCCAAGCGTGCACCTTCTATTTTCGCCGACGGCTCGGAATTATCGCGCACAGGTGCTCCGCGCAGACGACACGTAGTACGCCGAAGGACATGGAGAGAGGACGAGACTCATGGAAAGAGAGAGGGTATGAGAGAGAGAGAGAGAAAGAAAGTTTAAAACGAGAACGAGTGTACGTGCGCAACACGTATTTTCACGTGTCGCAAAACTTCCACGGAACACGAGGGTGAGATGTACGGCTGGCCATTACTGCGACGACCGGTTGATGAGGTGGTCGCTTCCTGACGAATTTAAAGCACTATACTCCCTCAGCGGAATAGTCGGGAAACAGCATCGTTTGTCACAAATGTTCAATCACTGGAGTGTCCTTGTTATCCTTAAATTATCAGCTTTTTAAAGTCCGAGAGAATAGTCAACAACGACGCGAACGTCTCTCCCTAGAGCTGTTCATTTCGCGAAGACGTGTGGCAACACGCGAAAATGCGAATGCACGGAACAGCCGAGGACTTTTGTGTTGCGTGCTCTGGCTACATGAGGGAAAGAGATTACCCTCGTGATGATCGCTACACATTTGCGAACTTGCTACCATGTAACTACTCAACTCTAATGATTGTTCCTTTGGGATCAAAAGAACAAACAGTCTTCCTTGTTGGAGATTCAGAATAAGAACCTATTTGAAACGCTAGAAAAGCTATTATCGTGCAGCATCTGGTAGCGTCAAGGACTCATTTCTGTGCTATATAAATTCCGAAAAATTTACAATTTGTAACTGTCACGAATGAAGAGTTTTTTTATAAAAATCAATCTGCATCCTTGACAGATATTGAAGCACAAAATGATTTTTCGTTACGCCGTTGCTGACATGCATTCACATCGACATGACAAATTCGCAAAGTTAAACTTTCAATAAAATTATTCGTCTCTGAACATACAATATCATATAATGACAATAAATGTTCTGAATATTGAGAACTTACAAAAAATCGTTGGATTTTTCATCATATTTCTTTTATCAATAATAAATAGTGCATGCTATATTCAAAATATCTGCCATCGTTATCCATCACTTTGTGCTATCTTTCAGGGAAACCGCGTCTGTAAAACGACTTTTAAGCCAATAAAATCATGGATGGAAGCTCTAACGAACCTTCGTAAGCTCCTAATATTTCCGCAGAATAAATCGTAGAATACTTACTGATGTTTACTCGCACATTCGCGTGCAGATGTGAAATCGGCTTTCATGTTCATAAAAAATCGCTCATAAAAAATCAATGAGAACGACAGCACATTCGTGAAAGTCGCGCACGTGCAAATTTAATGAAATTTATCTCGACAAACACCCGTGGAAAAATCCCAATATTTGTTTTTTCATACGCCTGCATTTCAAACGTACGCTTCGCTAAAGATTTTTCACGATTGAATTATACGAAAAATTTACATTTCCGCTGTATTATTTACTTTGTAGGATACTTTATTATTTACCTTGGATGCATAAAATGACGATAAAATTATATACCTGCGTGTAAAGCATGAAATTTCCAATTATCGACATTGATCGTCAACTACTCGATATAGATAAATCCAGTGTGCCCTACTCGTATAAAAGATCATAACTATTTCTTCTTCCAATAAGTAGAATAAAATATAGTAAAATTACACTTCTTGAAAATGTACGCTTCTTGAAAATACTACTCGTAACGCGAATAAAAAGTACCCCTCATCAATATTCTCTTTGCGATTTTTTTCTATACAGGGTGTCCCGAAACTACCGCATGTTATTTTAATGGCAGATTCTTTAGAACATTTCAAAACGAAAACTTTCATACAAAAATGTCGAGGCTATAATAGTTTTCAAATAGGAAGCGATTATATTTAACCAGTAACAGGGCTGAGATTTCGCGCGCTCAGGCACGCTGAAATGACAAGTGATAAAGGTGCCACACGTCGTATAGAATAGTGGACACCTTCATGGTAATAATTGATCGATACTTTGACAGATTAAGTTGAAATATGTCATTTTTACTTAAATCATATTTAAAATGTCTTACAACTATTATTTGTATTAAAAATATACTAATGCAATACGTAGAGAAGCGGCAAAACATATTATAACAAAGTTATTGTAAATTTATACAATGATCATAATATCGTAAAAAAAATGACATTCATAGGAGCATCTTTATCATTTGTCCTGAGCGCGCGAAATCTCAGTTCTGTTATTGATGAAACATAATCGCTTCCCGTTTGAAAACTATTATAGCCTCGACATTTTTATATGAAAGTTTTCGTTTTGAAATGTCCTAAAGAATCTGCCATTAAAATAGCATGTGGTAGTTTCGCGACACCCTGTATGTACCTAAAACGCTTAACCGAGCCGTCCTCATGATATTAATTGGTAGTCGACTCGCGTTCCCAAACCATCAATGCAATCTTCACAAAAGCCGTAAGAATGATTATATCTCGAAGAGGCTCCACGTACAATCCCGAGAACTGACTTTTTCCCTTCGAAGGTTAGAGCGGAAAAAACTGAGACCTCTTTTTGCAGGAGGCACTTGTCAAGAGGCTAGGACCAAACGCCCACGCGTTTACCATGGAAATTACTCCGCTGGCTCCACCGTCCGTGCAACTGGTACCAGCTAAGGAATACAACGGCGCACCTATAGGCACCAGCTACGACGTTAGAGCTTACGTCGGTAAGTGGAAAGATCTGCTAATTTCGTTTTTTTGTTTCTCATCCCCAAATCTGATAAACGTACTTTGATCAAGCGAGCGGAAGAGAATAGAACACGATAGCATGAAAACAAGACTCAATTAGAGTGCGACATGTGGACGAAATGGCAGATCGCGAGGAGAGTATATCTCTAATTTGCAAGAACTATTTTTAAGCGCAAATAAATTCGACGTATTCTTCTTGGAATATAAACGGCTAATTAAATGACTGTAAAATTTCCACGGCAATTATAAAATCTGCTTTATATTCTTTCGACATTTTTTTATCTTATAATCGTTATCTTATAATTGTTAGGCTTAGACGGATGAAAGGGGTACAAATATCCTAATAAATTTGTCATGAGATACGAGAAAGAGTTCTTAAAATCTCATATTACTTTAAGCTCAGCCAGTTTAAAAGTAGCTCTTACTTTATTGTAAATTTTAATAATTTGTCAGATATAATGTTACATATCTATCCGACTCTTTTTATTCTACAGACAGAAATGGATTGTTATCAATCTCGTGATCAGACTCGTTACAGCCTCGTTAATTGCGTTTCTTCACGAATAAAAAAGTAACTTTTAAACCCGAAAAACTCGTCTAACGATAGTTCGAAAGCAGTTTTCTTTTTTGAAAAACTCGCTCGATTATCCATGACAATGAGCCCGTAATTTAACTTACGTTTAGCACCAGCTTTCGTCCTTATTGCGCGTCCTTTGAGTCATTAATGTTTTGTGTGGCGGATTTTAGCGGAACGGGCGGACGAAAGATTGCACCGTAAAACCACCGTCAGAATGGGTATCCGAGTAATCCAGCGAACCACGAAACCGCCTTTACCCTCCACGACTATGTACAGCGTGCCTCCCTTTCAAGTGCTATCGATTCCCTCGAGAATTCAAGCATGCAAAACGAAAGTGGAGTCCACCGAAAATGAGATCATCGAAGATAACGGTTAGTCGTGATAAACGTGATGTGTGTTCGATTATTTAGATGTATTCAATTTTAGATTACACACAAAGTTCTATTATAACGCTATCAGAGTCATTATGGAATATTACAAAAGTTTTACAATCAAAACTAATAAAGCGAAAATTGAGAAATTGAAAATTATAATTTTTAACCGAAATTGCTTATTTTTTCACAATATTATATAATCTTTGAATAAAAAATAGCAAAAGTGTATGAAATAGAATATCCAGATAAAATTCAACAATATGAGAGGTTAGTAAAAGTCGTTTCAGGAATCATTAAACTGATTTGATTTTTTAATTTCTCATTTCGTATCCACCATGACTCTTTAATTTGCAATACATGACTCGTCGTAGTGTTGGCATAGACCAAAATCTTAATGGAATGAAATTTGTGATATCAAAGTTCTCAAACAATACGCTTCTCGAGTTTGATGCGAAACCGCTGAAACAATCCTGTAAGTTCCGTTAACAGACCTAGTCTGGTCGCATTTATTGCAAAGGCAGAATACAAATCGAAATGGATGAGACCCAGCGTGTCGCTTCAATTTTCGCAGAGAACGTGGGACCACATGCAGCGGTGGAAAAGCCATTTTTACTAAGCGACGGTCGCGTCGGATTAGAAGCGAAGCTAGATCGCGCGATCTACGCTCATGGGGACTCAATCACTGTCCACGTCTACGTCAGCAACAACAGCAGCAAGTCCGTAAGAAGGATAAAGGTATATAATTCATGTTTCACGTAGCTGTATCTGTTTTCATTTGGTTTCGCGTCGAGCATTTGATCAGACATAATGAAAATGAAGTACAACTGATACATAAAATGTTTGTCCTGACTTGTTTAAATTATTGATGAGACGCGAGGAAACTTATATTCCGTTCATTCAACGAGTTTTATCATATTTTTGTAGCATTACATTACTACATTAATATTGATAAATCGTATCATGAAGTATAAGTTTTGGAATTAAATAGTACGTGATTGGACATGCAAAATGCACTCACTGCACTCGTGGACGCACTCAGAGAAAGCTGAACAATGAAATAATCTGCACACCACTTCGTTGTATATTTTAATCATTCGATTGGTCGAATAAAAAAAAGAAATAGACTATTTTTCCAATCTAAATTGAATATTGATGTATACGGAGACAAAAAGAAAAGAAGGAGAGAAACGATTCGACATATGAAGAGTTGGTTCGTGTAAATCGCGTTTTTATTGAAAGTTATTTTTTTTTTAATAATTGTAGGTTAATATAATATCGTATATCTCGATTATTGATCTCTTGTCGGAATTTAACTAAAAATCACTCGTCTCTCCACACGGCAGAGAGGCTATCTATTGCGCGCAAAACAACCTAATGACTTCATAGTTTCCCGAACAATTAATCTGGCCCTTTTTTCCAAAAGCGATCAATCGCAGTTGTACTTGAAATGGGCACGAAATTGTGCTCCTCGCTCGTGGAACGAGCCGTTCGTAATTCGACGGTCCGCTTGGAGCACTCTATATTTCAAAGAGCATCTCTCCGACCGTGGATGCCGCCAATGGTTCCTTTTTCTACATTCCTCGGGGATCCGAACACTTTGAGTATTCATGACTCAGAGCGTCTATCTTACAGGCTTTTTATCTTTTTTCTTTCTCTCTCTCTCTTTCTTCATCCCTGTAGAACGCACGCAATTCTGTTTCATTCCGCCCATTTGCTTTTTTTAATTTTCCCTCTCTTTCTCTCACGTAACGTCTGGTGGCGAGGTGCAAAAAGGGCTTCCCGTAAAATTGACGTCGACTCTTCGCGACGAAACCGGCAGAGAAGGGAAGCAGGGGAGGGAAACAAACTCAACCGTCCATCGCGAGGGACGAGGGCGAGATCAATCGATGCGGTTCTTTATTCAATCGATGTGGTTTTTCTACGGAGTTGCCCCTCTGACGGCGTATAGCGTAGGAAACCTTGAACGAATTATGAGACTCTGTCCCGACGCGCCACCCTCAGCTTGTCAAAAAATTTATTCCAGGATCCTGAAGCCCCGAGTAAGTTGTAAAGATTGGCCGAGAAGTTTCAAGTCGAACACTTTTCAATTGGTAACATTCACACGTGTGTTCTACTGTAAGCTTAGGAGAGACAAAGTACATAGTGGCGTTATTTCTCGAATTATTTCTCAAATTTCGGATTGCCTGTTTTCATACAGAACTTTACTTTTGTTGCCTTATCATCCACGGTCTCGTCTCATCATCTCGTCTCATCCACGGTCTCATCTCATCTTTTCCTCTTAATTCTTCCAAGCAAAATAATACATTCAGAATAATAACGCACGTCGCGCATGCGCATGCATTATGATCTTTCGAAACTTCTATGCCGATTGTGACGTTAATTAGTAAACGTGATTTTAGGTAGGCTTCTGCACACAACTTTCGCTATGCTCATCCATTAATTACGCGAGAAATAATGGTACCACTCTCAACTTTGAGTTGGCTATCGTCTCTCGTTGGACTTCCGCAAATTTAATAAGCTCATTAGAACGTTCACATCCCGCGGGTACAGTTGATTTCAATGAGACTACTTTAGCATCTTAATAAGAACACCGTCGCTCGCACAGTATGTGTATAAACATGATGAATAGTCAGGCTTTGCGTCAACATTTTTCGCATAGGTGGATTAAAACGATCTTGCCAATTTTCAACAGGTATTACGTCAGATCGCGATAATTTAACATCGCTTTATGTGTCCACGAATAATAAAGCGTAGACTTTGAAAAATTTGAATTTTTCTACAAAGAGACAAATAAGCAAATTTTTTTATCAAATATAAAATAAATATATCTACATTGTTTATCAAACAAAATATAAATATATCTAAAGGTTACATCACGCGATACTGAAGCACATGGTAATATCTTGAAGAACAACAATCGAGAACAAGAATCGTTCCACAAACTTAGCATTAATTATGTTAAATAAATGTTTATTTTCGCGATAAATGATACGTCAGGAAAATTCACTTGGCTGCGCTAAATGAGATGAATGAATCCGAATTAATAATTTTATTAACATGCGTATTTTTGTATCCCTCTGTCTCTTTCTCTCTCTCCCTTTTTCTCTCACTTTCCTCTCGGTTTCTTTATTTTCCGTTTTTCCTTCACCTACCGGCTATTAGAACGCGAATAATCGCCTCCAGAGAGTTAAACGTCAAGAGTTAAATGTCGTGCGATAAATACAGCGCAGTTGTGCCTCACCACGACGAGGAAAATACGAGAAAGCGTCATTGATCAGAGAAAAGAGACTTTGTTTTCACAAGCATGATATCTTGAAAGATCTCGAGATTCACACATTTATAAACTTTTAATAGTGAACAAATCTCGAACTTCACAAAGATAAAATATATAATAGAGAAATAGAGGCACGATGTCCACGACGTTAATATAATATATGACAGAATAATTGAAAGGATTCTATCTTCTGCAAATATCGACAAGTGGCTCGTCATAAATCGAGCTTTAAAAGGAAACCTATCGGGAAAGCGCGGAGACGCGAGACTACATTCGTAGCGATCGTTGGCCTGCAGAATATTGATCAATTCAGAAGCAGCAATTTCGAGGGAGAAGTTCAAGGAGAACTATCTTCGGGGACGTATCTGACTGGGAAGCGTATCTGTAAAATTTTACACAATCGACCAGATTGAAAAAGAAAGATAATTAATAACGTATATCGCGTAACGCGCACGTATTGTGATAAATGACAATTGCCATGTTAAAATGCGCAAGCTAAGCGGATCATTTGCCAAAGAGAAACATAATTTTACGTATTTATAACTTCATAAATAAACTAGAAGGCAAAATCGCATTTCCAAGACGGAGTAAATATTGTAAATTCATATTTACTTTGTAGTCTGCGCAGCTTGCGGGCGTTATTTAATAGAAAATATAACTCTTGCAATAGATTTTCAAGAAGAGCACGAAGATTCGATCGAAGGATCCACAATCGCGAGTACCAGTTTAAAGATATCGTAACGTAACTTAGCATAAGATCTATTTTCACCGCTGCAGATACAACTCAGTAATTCCTCTCGCGAGCCTCTCCCGTTGAACTTCAATGGGAATACTTTGAAAATATCGATTCCGCACGGTTGCGGATGCAAGTTGGCTTCCAAGTAGTTCGAGAATTATACGTTTACTGACGTAATAGAGCTGTAATCTCGCGTTTTGCTGCAATAATATGGCGGATTATCATACCATGAATCCAAAAGCATATGGATATCAAACTTCGTGGTATTAGTCGCACCTGTGTTACAACCATCGCGGGGAAGTCCGATAACCGTCTCATGACCACACATTACGCATGTCTGCGCCTGTGTCTCACTCAAGAATTCATAGCGCCCTTTCATGCCCCAGTGAAATATTTTATGCATGCATGAGCGAGTTAATAAGAGAACCTGTCGTGATTTATCTAAGTAGTGAAAATAACAAGAATTAAGAACAGAGACAAGAGCTGGCTTCTACGAAAACGTTCTGGAACTTTGTTACTTTAGACAATTGACAGCATATTTCTTGCATGTTTTTCTATGAACTATGCAAATCTATGCGAAAGATACGAATGCATTCTTCTTTCATATCGTTTGAATGTTTCGAATAGTGTATATATAGATTTGAGCTCGAATTAGCATTAAACGCATACAAATAATTCCTGAGAGATTAAAAACCGTCGAGAAAAGAACAAATTAGACGCCCACCGTGATCAAAATATCTCTGGCAGGTAAAAAAAATAACAATATTCCCCAAATCGGTTCCCTACAAGCGTATCTCGTCTCCTCACGGAGGAGACACAATAACATACAAGCGATATCGGCGATTTTCTCGACGACAGACAGGAATCGACAGGAGCTATTTCCTCGCTCAAAGTTATCTCGAAGCCATGAGGAGAAACGCAATGCCGACATGCCGTTGTGAAGTTATAATTCAATTTGTTTCGCGCATGCAGAAGGAACAACAAAGACAAAGTGCACGATTCGCTTGCGCTGAATTGGATCCGCTCGCGATAATCCGCGCCGATCCGTTTGGCATTTCGTTCTTACGATCACAGGCTTTACACGTTTCGTATTTATACGAATGGACATCTCCCTCGAGGAGAAACCAGCCGATGGTGATGCCGAGGTTACGTCGTAACGGGAAATTGCGTTCGTATCGGGCGCTTTTGAGCCGCGCTTCATTAACAGCGGCAGAGAGCATTGTTCGAAAATAGGGACATGGCATCCTGCCGATATCCTGTCCACCGGCCAGAAAGGACGGACGCGTTTGTAACACCCTGTGTTAACTTTGTTGCGACAGTTCGGCAAACAAACCGACGCCTCATCGCTCCCGCCTATAAGTTGTACGAGTTATCTTTCGTAATCGAATTTAAGTTCGCAGCGGTCAATAATCAGCGACAGCAGGTTCAATTGCATAACAATTAACTTTAACGAATGGCAATCCAAGTATATATGTATATATACATGCATATATATATATATATATATATATATATATATATATATATATATATATATTTATATGCGTGTATGAGTGTGTGTGTATGCGTGTGTGTATCGATTCATTCAACAAAAACTGCCGAAGAAGTGTTGTTAGAATAAAAATAACCCACCAACAAACAAGATAATCCTCGAGACATTATTTTATTTTTCATTTTTCACTTAAAAAGTCTAGATTCTAAAAGAATTGTTTCAAATAATTTTCCTTTATCAGTGAAGAAACGAGGCATGCAAATAAAGAATGTTGCAAAATTTTATGCTGCTAACAAATCGCGTGAATTTATAACAATACGATAACTTCCACATTGGAAAAGTTCGATTTTACAATAAAACGTTTGCAGTTGCAGATATTAATTCAACAATCATCATTCTTATCAAATATCGCGAGCTCCGTCTGTTTATTATAAGAAATATTTTCTTTTAGGTATTTGTCGTACAGCACGTGGACGTTTGTATGTTCAGCAACGGCAAATTCAAAAATGTTGTGGCCCTCGTGTCCTCACAAGAGGGCTGTCCCGTGGGACCGGGTGGTACTTTAATAAAGAGCTACACTCTCAGGCCTATTAAGGGTTCAACCAAGAACTGGATTGCTTTGGAGGATAGCTATACGAAAACTGGAGCAACCCTGGCATCAACAGTTATCTGTCCCGGGAACGGACCCGATGACAGGAATGTCTTTGCAATTTATGTTTCTTATTATGTGAAGGTAATTTTAGATACGAAACAATACAACATAAAACGTAACGAAAACCATTAAACGCATACATCTTTAAGCTTTAATAGCTTCGAAGCTCAAGAAATTACACCAACAATTGCAGAAAAGCATGTGTGTGATATAAAAAACAAAACTACTCTTATGGTATTATGGAGAAAGAATTGTCAAAATAGTTTATCATTAAATCCTTTAAATAAGATGCAATTTGTGTATTATAAATATTTTTTAAATTTGTTCAATCTCTAGAAGAAAAATTAATCTTTCTGATTTTTCGCTATAAAAAAATTATCTTCCGTTTTGTCAGATAAAAAACTTGTAATTTATTTCAGATCAAACTGCTAATCTCGGCAATGGGCGGTGAGGTCTCTTTGAAGCTGCCGTTTACATTAATGCACAGTAATACAGATCCGGATCTTATGGGATTTCCGTCTCCCATTCGAGAGGCACCGAAACAATTTGGCAAGAGCGCGGATGAAATTACAGAAAAGTCGAGCAAATCGGATGGCAATAGTCATAGAAAGAAGGAGAATAAACTAGAAGCCATCAAAGAACAAGAGAAGGAGTCACGAGTGACCGACGTAGACCTAATAGAGCATTGCGAGGAAAGCGACAGCACCTGAGATCGGGCGCAACGAGGCGACGCGACGTCGCGGCCGTCTATCAGAAAGAACAGCGATACGAAGACCATCAAGAACTCAAATCACAAGGCTTGCAGACTCAGCGTCAGCATCCAAAGAGCCTGGTGCTGTTTCAGAAGAGCCTCTTAGTAAACGCACGGAAATCTCCTTCCCACCAGATCATGACGATTCCTAGTAGCACATGCTACCGCCGTCTCGTCATAATTCCTTCTATTTTTTCAGAGGGAAATATAAATACCTTGCGAAAGACGCACGGGATATGTATAAGAAATAAGAAAACAAACGGCGCATAATGCAACTTGTCAATTCTCACCAGAACTGATAGTCTTTTATTGTAAATATAGATCACACATGTTTCAAAGAGAATGGAATGCAGATTCTCAAAAATTATTGAATTATGTGATCGGTCTTGCGTGCGCGCGCAGAAAACGAGCGAACAAACCCGTTGCGTTTTGCGTCGCAGAGAAAATTTTACAAAAATGAGACTGCATGCAATTGTATAATTGATCGTATTTCATGAGGTATCGAGCGTCGAAACGTTATATGCGTTATACGCCCTTTTCTCTTTGTCGCGCTCGTTGTCGCGCAGATCACAGCAGGATTTGACTGCTCTCAACAAAAGAGAGATATTTAAATGGGTGTCATTGTTGTAATTAAGTGTGTGTGAAGTTACAAACTGTTTGACGTATCATGTGGAAGTCGTATCCAGCGTGGGAGGCAACAAATTCAATCGAAAAATGATTTATCGCAGATCTTCCGTTTAAAACTTTTACTACGCTAATAAAGAGAGAGAATCTCTCGAAAGGCATATATTCCTGTATATCATTTACATCGCTGAATTAATGCTATGGTGATATATGTAATATATTCTTATAGTCTACATTATCGCTGATTGTCTGAAGCTTTGTCAATGTAAATCGCTTGAAGTTTTCTTTGTGTTTATAAAATATCTCCCTCTTCATCTAATATATGAGAAATCTCCTACTGCCATCCTATCCATTTATCTTACTTGGTTACATAGTAACCAGATTCCGCGTCTACATTAATTTCGGGAACATGTGAAGAATGAGCGAAATGCGCGCATTCACACACACACACACACACACACACACGCGCGCGCGCGCGCGCGCGTATTCTTATCTATAAACTATAAATTTATCCAAAAACGTCTATATGAAAAAGTAATACATACCGAATTAAAAATATCAAATATATTTTTTCAAAGAAGTAGATACCTATTTTTTATTGTGATATTCGATATATAAATTGTTCCACTATTACTGGATAAAATCTTATAATATATTCCTTAATAATTATAAAGTCGACTTTTAATCGACATTTTTAATAAGAAGTTGTAATTTCAATCAACATTCCAATAAACATTTTGCCAATTAAGTTTTAAGTGAAATATTTTTGTGTTAAAATATATTTTATTATAAACTTTGAAATTCAGTTTTGCATATGTAACTGTTTTTATATACAAAACTTTACAGCTTTATGTATAAAAACTTTTAAATTTTTAAATTAGATTGAAAAATGTGTTAAAGGATATATATTTTTATTATTAAATTTAATATTAAAAGAATTTATCTTTAATATTTTATCCAGGGATGATGGAATATGTAATTATATTCTTTTATTTGCAAAGAAGTATCTATTGACTGACCAGTAAAAAATAACCAACCAAGGTGCAAATTAATGGGAGAAATATACTGCGGTAACAATTTTTAAATAAAACAGTATTAACACATGTGTACTAAATATACCTCTATTGCTTCTTCACTTGCAATGAAAATATGTAAAGATGTACAGATTATACCTTTAGCATTGTAAATAATAAAGACATAAATATGCAACAGTTTATATAGTGAGTTTTATAATACTGCCTCATGACAGAACATATAGTAAAGATTCTAATTCTATAATTTACAGGTTTGTTCTTTTCAAAGAACTTCCTGAACTGATGTATATTGATGCAATAAGTTAAAATTAAATATATCATGTTTAGCTCTAACTTATTGGTATATGGTATATATACTTTAGTTCAGAAAGTTTTTTTAAAAAGAACAAGCCTTATATTGTATATATGACTTTGATGAGCACACAATGCTGTTTTTATGTACATTAGAAACTTTATATGACTAAAATACAATCAACTTTATATACTAAAATATATTATAGTGCAGCATATTAAACATTAAGCATTTCCAAACAATATTTGATATTACATAGTATGCATAGCAAAATATATTATGAATGTATCAAAAACTCACCATGCCACTGAGCTCTTACATATCCTCTCACAACTTGCTTACTAGCGTTGTTGATTGTATCTTTTACATCAATCAAGATATATTTGAATCTTCCACGATCATCGATATCCACATCTGCTACTTGGTCCAACAATTGAGACATTGTAGCAAAACGATGAATATTTATCGCGCCTGGGACAAAAATAAAAATACAGATATAGTAAACATATTATATTACATATTATGACATAACCTGACAAATGATATTTCTATTTATATCTACATATTCTGTCTTATCGATAATGCATTCTGTTAATACGAATTGAAATTATAAAGATTAACGCAACTTATATCACAATATGTGATATAGTATTATGTTTTACTGTTTTAAATAATGTTAAATACCTTTCGGAGAAATTTGGCGGCTGATCAACACCGCTCCAAACTTTAAAATTACAGCCATAACATCCTCGAATCAAGTAGTTACTAGATTTGACATCAACAAACATCTTCGGTTGAGTTCCGAAATTCACTGTTGGTACTGAAAATCTATAGTTTATGTTATGTACTATAGATTTTCACTACTGGCAATGAATTTCGGAACGCAGCCTTCATACCTATCTTCTAGAGATTTTACTGCTTCAATGCTGTCTTTTGAAATAAATAGATTTGTTCGCATTATTTGCACTTTTGATACTTTTACATTTAAAGGCATCTTTACATGGGAGCATCGAGTGTTAGGGCTATCGCACACAAATTGACATAACTGCATATGCATAGCATAAGACCGTATGTACCAATGAGCATCGAGTATTAAGTCGCCATATTGGTGTTCGATGCTTAATATTCGATGCTCATTGGTCCATACGATCTTATGCTATGCATATGCAGTTATGTCAATTTGTGTGCGATAGCCCTTAAAACAGTAGCTAATCAACGTGCCACTTTCCGCAAGAACTACAAGTACACTTCTGGGACTTGATACATTGATTGGTCAACGCTTTAACGCTCGAAGCTCAGACCATAGACTTATGGCTCCTGCACACAAGACGCGGTAATGCTTGCCGCGCGGCGGAAGTTCGCGCGACAGCCAATAAATATGCTGCTTTCCGCAATACTTTCTAGCTCTTACGGAAAAACAATATATTGATTGGCTGTCGCGCGGACTTCCGCCGCGCGGCAAGCATTACCGCGTCCTGTGTGCAGGAACCATTAGGCGTTCCGAAATTCACTGCCAGGATTAGGTGACAGTTTCTAAAAAAATGAAGGCGATAATGTTGGTACCAAGAAAAATCTCCACACGATATAATATTAAATTATTTTAAAGATTTATTCTTTGTAACTGCACACTTCTGAACTAATGTAAAAGGTTAAAGTAAGAAAACGTATACTTGTCTCACTTTAATTTATTGCACCAGTTCAACAGTGCAGTTACAAAAAACAAATCTTTAAATTATATCGTGTAGAGATTTTCTTTGATACCAACATTATCCCCTCCACCTTTCGGGAAACTGTCACCTAACCCTATTTCTCTGCAATCTTTATGATATATTAACTAGTATAACATAAAATCTGTTCATTTCAGTTCCATCTTCTTTACTTGTTTACTTTCATCTTATTTATCCTCTAACTCTAATACATACTTATTTCATTTGAAATGTGAAGAGTGTAATAGCGAATTCAGCTGCTTGCACTAGTATGTATCGTGTGCTAAATAAAGCTTGTTCATATCGGTTGCTTTCCATAAGTCGATACAAACAGTATTCTATCTTTGTTCCACATTTAGTGAGTAACAAAGATAGGATAATACTTGTATCAACTTGTGTTTCTTGTTGGAAAGCAACCATCATGTTCCTATAAATAAGATCGTCTTAAATACATCTTCAAAAACGTCTTAGTTAACAAAACAATCCGTACGAATTGTACAGATCATTTTATTGGCTAAGAAATATTTTTGAAGATATATTTAAGACGATTTTTAATATGAGAATAGACTATGAACAAGCTTTAGTGAGTACTCAGTGCATGCTAGTGTAAGCGGCCGAATTCATTATAAGATGATCAAGCTGATAAAGCAACCAAAGAAACCGCCTTTATGTCACGAACACTGAATATTTAAAAATCATAGTTAAATTCGATATAGATTTAATACACGACATGTGTGAGAGTGGAAGATTACTTTTTGTTAAGTATCTGACATGAGATAACAATTATCTTTCAATGTTACATATTTATGATTAAATATCAACTATTAACAAATCGACGCACATACAGCGTTGATGCATATACATTTACACGGACCAGCCGTTGCTCACCGTTCACGACTCCTGTTTGCGGATTGCGCGGCCAAATTAAAGCAATATGGCGGATTGACACAATAATTTTCAATGCGTGATACATACATTACAGTAGTTACCAGTGTACAATTACCACAGTAATAGGACAAATTGCAGTGAATGACGGATTCTTCGGACGAATTTTATGTTGTGCACGTATATTAACATCGGCATTAATTTGTCTTTGTGCGGTTTTATAGTGATCTTGGCTGGTCGGCGGATTGTGACTTCGAAATTTATTTCGATAAATTATTCTCAATCATGTATGCATTCTGGTAATTAACTATTACGGTGATTTTACTACTATTTTTTTATTTTTATGACAAAATATGTCGTCCACACCAAACAAAATGCGAGGTATGTAAAAATTGGTAGCGAAAATAACCTTACAAAATTACCCATTGATTGAGTATACTTTTCACATTTTGACACATCTAGCCGTTACTTTATTTATGTATTCAACTACATTTAAATTGCGCATGAATTGTGCAAATGAAGTGAATTGATAAGAAAATTATTAAAAGAACATCTTTACTAGGTCCAGGAAGACCACCGAAGTTAAGAAACAGTTGCACATGGTGTGGGGAAACTAAACAACCATTGAAATATGTTCTTCCTACACAGAATGGCAAAAAAGAATTCTGTTCAGAGACATGTTTATCTGAATCCCGTAAGAGTTTTGCACGAGGTGCATGTGCACAATGTGAAAGTTTAATTAGAAATACACCTGTTAGATTGGATCAAAAAGATGGTTCAAAAAAGGATTTTTGTTCTTCGAGCTGTTTAAACACTTATCAAAAGAAAGATAATCAAACAGACACAAAGAAAAGTAAGTACCCAGATGTCTCATATAGTATACAAAAATAGATATTTATTTTTCCAACAGATTCAATAACAGATGTTGAATTTATGTATAGACAATAGGGATCCATCATCACCTGTACCATCTCCTGCTCCATCTGGATTACCAACCAATAATAACGTGCCGTCAACTACACAGTCATATACTACCAGTACAAATAACCAAACAACAGTATCTAATCCGCCATCAACATCCAATGGATCATTTCAGTATGAAACATTTCAAACGTTTGATTGGGATAATTACTTAAAGGAAACAAATAGCAAAGCAGCTCCAACTGAGTGCTTTAAACAGGTATGACAACTTGGTCATATATGTATGATACAACTTGAATATGAACACACTAATTATCTAATCTTGAATGTGTTATTTGTTTGGTATAAAATATAAAGAATGGAATGGATTTTTTAAATTTATTCCAACATAGTGTGTTTGTATTTCTATAATATTGTACCATAAACATAAATTATAATATTTATAGATACTGTTTAATTTTTCTCTCTTTCTCTTTGTTAAGAAAAATACTGCTAAGAAAGATACTATTTCTGTTAAGAATATTACAGTTTTCTATTTAATTTTAGCATGAAGTTCCACCAGTAAATGAGTTCAAAATTAACATGAAATTGGAAGCATTAGATCCGCGAAATGTAACGTCAACTTGCATCGCTACTGTAGTAGGTGTTCTTGGACCTCGGCTGAGATTAAGATTAGACGGATCTGATAATAAGAATGATTTTTGGCGGTTAGTCGACAGTAACGAGATACATCCGATCGGGCATTGCGAGAAATCTGGTGGAATGCTTCAACCACCATTAGGCTTTCGAATGAATGCTTCGAGTTGGCCGATGTTTCTCTTGAAAACATTGAACGGTGCTGAAATGGCACCAGGGAAAGTTTTCAAACGCGAACCAAAGACACCACGTTCCAATATGTTCCAAGTCGGATACAAGCTAGAAGCAATAGATAAGAAAAATCCTCAACTTATATGCACTGCAACAATCGGTGCCATTAAAGACGATATGATACATATTACGTTTGATGGCTGGCGCGGTGCCTTTGATTATTGGTGCCGTTACGACTCGCGAGATATTTTTCCTGCTGGTTGGTGCTTCAAAAGTGGACATCCGTTACAGCCACCAAGACAGAAATGTAAGAACGAGTATTTTATAATTTTAAAAATGACAATTATACATGTTACAAATGACTAGTACAATCAATGGCGAAAAGATTACAACATTTTTATCTCGATAAGTTTCAAAATGCACTCATTCGATATCGATAGGAAGATTTATCTTTTAAAAATAGGAAGATAAGAAGATTTATCTTCTAAAAATTACTAAAACAAATTCTTTTATTGTTGCGAAACTTATTGAAAAACTATTGTAACTTTTTTACTGCTGGTTATATATACAATGTATATTATTGCATAATACTTAAGCTCTTGAAGGACGTTTATATTAAAGACAGAAGGAAATTATTTAATGTTAAAGTGACATACTACATATATGTCAATCATATTATAAAATATTTTTTTTCTTAAAATTTTGTAGTCAATATTTACTTATTATATCTGTTATATCTTTATTAATCATTTTTTAATTAAAAACTAAAAGTACACATATATCAGTGTAAAGAAATTAAACATTTATAATCGGTTTTTCTATCAATAACATTTTTAACTTTTATTTGTACACAGCAACAGGTACCAATAGATTTAAGTCCAAAAGCAGTAATGTTTTATTAGTAATGGCTGTGTCTGGTAGCAATACCAGCAGAGAACCAGCTGTGGCATTAGTGAGCCCTGCAGGTTCCAGCGCACCACCACAGCCAGCTACAGAACCTGACACTAGTACAGCTAATACCAAACCACGCACACTTGAAAATGGTTAGTAACAATATATGTAAACTGTGTATATACAAGATAATTTTTTAAATAACGTAATTTTATATATTGCAGAATATAAATATTCGTTTTATGTCAACCATAATTGTTCTTGTGGGCCATACTTTGACCCTCGGAAAGTGAAAGCCATGCCAGCACAATTTGGTCCTGGTTCTATGCCTGGTGTTGCCAAAGATATCTTTCAATCATTCTTAATGGCAGCCATGAGTACTAGACAAATGTTGAGTTTAATAAGACGTGGTGAAGGTGAAACCATACATGTGGTTCTGGAAAGTAAGGCAAATTCTATTAGATTACCTGTTTTTTCGGAAGAGGAGGACTTTTATACATACGTTAGACGACAACTTGAGGATCTTTGTGCATGTGAGCATATGGTAGTTAGAAGAAAAGAACCTTGCACCAAGTGCACTAATACCCAACAACCACAATCTACTAATAACGAAGAAGCAAATAACACTATGGAAGAGAAGAGAAGATGGTCACCGTCGATTCAACAGAATTTAACATCTACTACACCACAACAGAATTTAACATCTTCTACTACATCACAACAACATGTACAGCATGTACAACATGTACAGCATGTACAACATGTACAACATGTACAACATGCACAGCATGTACAGCAAACTAATGTGCAAAGTACAGATAATTCTACATTGTCAACACCTACACCTTCAAAACAACCGCGTAAATCCGTTCCTGGTAGGTATTTTACATTTTCTATAAAATTTTGCTATGTGAATAATATAATCGATTATATAGTAAATTGTAAAAATGTTTATTGATATTATTGAAGAGTGTATGGATAATTATATCTTTACTTTGTTCTCTCTCAGCAGTGCAAGATATAAAACAACCATTTAACTAATTTAACCTAAAATAATGACTAAAATATATTTAAATTTAGAACTTGAAGCAGCAACCTCCACTACTCAATCTGAAACTTCTGCAACTCGCACTCCTCCTAATGAACCAGCAGAATGGACGATTGAAGATGTGATACATTATATTGCCATTACGGATCCAGCACTAGGACAACATGCAGATTTATTTAGAAAACATGTGAGTTAATTATAAACTTATTTATTAGTCACGTTTACTCCCACACACGGTGTGATATTGCATTATATTTTTCATACTATTGACATCAATAAACGTAATATGAGAATAAATATGTTAAACGATTTACGATAAAACTAACGAAACGCAATTTTTAGGAAATCGACGGCAAAGCTCTGCTTCTTCTCAATAGTGACATGATGATGAAATATATGGGATTAAAACTCGGGCCAGCACTTAAAATCTGTAATTTGGTAAACCGTATCAAAGGTAGACGGCACATATTGATGTGATTTTCTCAGATATGAAGATATATATATATGTATGTATATATATATATTTATATATATATATATACATATATATATATACATACATATATATATACATATATATATATACATATATGTGTATATATATATATATAGTGATCTACATTTCTGCATTTCAACCAGCTGGTCGAATTATTTTCAGTTGATGAGAACGAATTAATATAAAAATTGTTAAAAACACTGTGAATAATGTGAAAGTCTCACACTGACAGTTAATTAATCCTCAAAATCACAATCACATATATCCAATATCCTAATAGTAAGATAAAAATCGAAGTTAGGCTTCAACTTTCAAAGCATCGTTTTATTCACTCATTGATTTGTATTAGTGTAATGCAAGTATTTTTGTTAATAAATTTATCATCGTCCTAAGTATTAACTCGATTCGATTTTAAATATGTAGCTAAGAAGATTAAATTTGATGTAGTTCTTACATATGCTCACTAAAAAGAAAAAAACATTTCCTCAACTTGTAAATACATATATATCATATCGCGTCATACTTTAAAAGTCCAATATTGTGAAATATATATATTATGAGTTAATTGTTTTGTAATACTTTCAAGCCATGTTCGTGATATCGTAGATTAACATTCTTCTTTAATGTTATGTTTTTATTACATCACATCGTAAATAAACCTAATATATGTATGGATTACCTAACATCTGTAGTAACAGAGATCCAACAAAGCTTGATAATATTAAAAGTTTAAAATGTTTGAGCTCTCTCTCATATTTTCTCGCAAAATAAGAATAAATTGTACATTTTCGCTGTGTTGAATATATGCAATGGTCTGAATGTAATTTACAAGCGATAGTTGTAGTTATACTGAATTATATTATTTTCAATATAATTTCAATTGACAGGGAAAATCTTGATAAAAATCTTATACGTAATCTTGATACGTATACTATGCTAGTTTCCCATTTTTATTGTGATAGTACATCAATTTTTGTTGTATTATGTAAAATCATACATACTTTGGATTTCAAATTAAAAAAATTAAATGAACATATACATTTTTTTCTCACCACTACTGTGATATTCTGGACAATTTGCAAAACAATATATCATATTTTGCAATGCATTACATCTTAGAAAACTATAAAGTTACTATTTTGTTTATTAGTTTAGTAGATTTATTATGTCTTCATAGAGTCTGTTATATATTTTAAAGTCTCATATTTTTTCTTGCTTATATGAAATCTCTGATGAATTAAACATTTATAACATTTTATAACGTTTTAAATTGACAAACATATTAAAAATATACAATTTTTTTCTATCTTTATTTCCCTCTCTTTATTTCTATCTCTAAACTCTCTTGTTCTTGTACTTCCTCTTTAGATCCTGCATATAATTAGGGGATTAAAAAATTCTTCGGATTTTTAGTCATATTTGTTTAATTAATGGTAACGAAACAGTACGTATGTGCCACATTTAATCCTAATATTTGTTTTCGTTATTCATTGCTTTCTATCATCTTCTATATAATTATGATTCATCTGTAAAATGACTCATCTTTTAAGTCAATGAAATCAACGACGATCCGATGAATTTTAGCAAGTCCCAAATGTTATTAGTTATGAATGTAAAACACATAATAAAATATAAGCTATAACATATCAAGTTATAAAATGTAAAAATAATTTGTGTATTATATAGCATACTTGTATTTTAATAAAATCGCATGTAAATTACATATAGCAACCCTTCAAATTTATGAATTTATTATGATACATATATAAGAATATTTCATACAAAAATTACTGACATAAATAGATTGAAATTAATATTAAGAGACATTACTAAATTATAAAAAATTATGGTACACCACATACAAAAATATATTAAATTCTAGACTTTATCAATTTTATTACAAGAGGTCAACTTACTGTTAAAGAAAATGACAGCATAATCATTAGATTTAATACACATAAAGCAAAGTGAGTATAAACATAATTTTTTTATATCTTAAATATAATCTCAGTCATCATCAGAATCATCTGAGCCTTGATATCCCTTGATAGTTTTAGGTTTCTGAGGTCTAATTATAAATGACTTCTTGCCAGTTTCAGAAGATTGTAGATCATCATCATAATTTATCACACCAGATTGTGCAAGACGATATTGTAGAGTTTCTGTAGAAAAGTCGTCACAGTTTCCTAATTCAGTAAATCCTACAATATAGTCCTTGGTTTTACCGTTTACAATTAATGCAATTGTAGGTATAATTCTGATCCGCAATCGTTCTGCAATGTTCAAAACATTATAGCCTGTTAACATATGTTAACATTGTGTTAACATTTTTTTTATTACAATTTTTTAAATAGGTATACCAGTTAAAAAGGGACATCTTTCGACATTTAATTTACAGAATCTTGCTTCAATGTGTTTTTTTGCAAGAATTTTAAAATGATGATCCACTATTTTACATCGTTGAGAATCATCTTTATAAAATAAACAAACTATATTTTCTGACTTTTTGGATATTTCAAAGAACTCTTTCTCATCATATATCTCTGAATATTCTCCATGACCCTGCAATAATATATTGTTGTATTATTTCGCTGACATATATTCATATATAATTTATTTTAACGATATATTAAGTCTAATACAAATATATTCATATATAATTTATTTTAACGATATATTAAGTCTAATAAAAATATATCTTCATGCCAAACATGTTATAGTAGTAATTTATTACCATTAAGCTTTCAAATATAATATATTATTTCAAATGTTATAATATATTTACCGAAACAAGCCAATCCTGTTTTTGTTTTTGCATCCGTTTGAGTTCATTCAATCGGTTTGCGCGTATTTTTTCATAATCACTGATATCTAAATTGTCTAATTTCTCCAACTCTGCATCCAATTGTTGCTCAACATGACTGGCAACCTCTATCACTTTTTGTTGAAGTATAGTCTCCATTCCTATCAATTAGAGAAACATTTGTAGATACTTTATGTATGTTATTTTAACTATATAAGAGAAATGTAAAGATCAAAAGATTATACTGTTAAATATGAGTCAAATATAATTATGAAAAATATTGTTATAAATAATATATTAAAGTTATAATACTATAATATATTTAATTAATACTTGGTGCGCTCAAATAGGACGTAAGCTTTTCAACTTGACAACGACTCAACCGATTCGACTTTTATAATTATCTGTATTCACGTTCCAAGGCACTTGACCATATATAGAAACAGCATTTCAGCGTATGAAAGTGTGACAAAGACACGATACAAGAATAAAAAAGCGTGACATCAGGGCTGCGTTCGAAAACGTCACTCAAGTGTACCCATTACGTTAGAATGAGCGAGATACAAGAGTGAGATGAAAAGAGAGGGAGAACACTCGAGCGATGTTTCCGACGCAGCGCAGTATGCAACCTGCGACATTTATCTCTCTCTTTCTTGTTTACTACGTATCGTATAGTGTGGATGCGGTCCAACACCGCTACAAATGCGCGCATATTTTTCCCTTTTGTTCTATTCCTCGGATTCGAATGAAGAAAGAAAAAGAAGTAAAAACGCTACAAAGCATTTGCAACGTCCGCTAGACCATACCCTATGAGGTGTGTTCGAAAACTTCACCCGGGTGTTTCTCCTCTCTCCTTATCTCACTTCTGTATCTTTCTCACTCCAACACAGCGAGTGCACCCGGATAGAGTTTTCGAACGTACGCATGTACTGTCAAAAAGGGGCATTTAATTGTGGTCTGTTCTTTTCAGCTACACTGCTGAACTGGTGCAATAAGTTAAGCCCTATGCACAATGCCAGGCAATGGGAATGTCCCGATTGACAACGGTACGATTGGACACAACCAACCGATGAAAAGAATTATCTAGTGAATTACTAGGTCAAACCAATCATTACAATCTGTGTCCAATCGTGGTCAATCGGGTCCCACCCGTATTGTTTCTACAGCGCTCTCTATAACGAAATCCTTTATGATAAACTAAAACGAAGTAGTTACAATATGACTCTTTTATACTCTTCGAGGTTATTAACTGCAATATTATATATATTTAGTTCTTGATTTAACAGTTATATTTCACTTAGTTTAGCTTTCTTATATAGAAATTATTATATGAACAAAGATCAATATTAGAGTCAATATCAATATCAGAGATTACTTCAATTATATGTTTAAACAGTGTTTTTTTTATATTTTGAGAATTTTATTACAAATTGTATCGCATATTCACTTGTTTAATTGAAAATTTAGTATAACCAAATATAGTAAAAATATTGAATTTCGAGTACAAGAAAGTGAAACGTATTATATATAAATTTTATTGGACAATATACAAAAAGAAAATATTTTTGTAAAATATGTGGGCTGGAGAAGTAAAAAAAGATATTGCAGCTTTGGTAGTTCATACATATCCATTGTGTAAAGTAAATTAACTGTATATAGTTATGTTCCAATTAAAATATTAAAATTTTAATTACTACAAAGATCTTTTCTCTCCAGCATAGTGACATGCCAGAAGAAATGAAGCAAGAAGTCATAGAGATATGTGTTACTGCTGTAGAAAAATATTCAGAAAATTATGAACATGCAGCACGTATGATTAAAGATAATCTGGATAAAAAATTTGGACCACCTTTCCAAGTAGTAGTTGGTGAAGCTTATGCTTGCTCAATTATATATCAAGAAAAATCACTTTTATATATGTTTATTGGTGGTAACATAGCAGTTCTTGTATGGAAGACTGTTACAGGTTTTTAATGAGTCAAACTAAAAATGAAGTTGTATTTATACAATATTATGTATTATTTTTATAAATACATCTTATAAATACATATCTTTTATAAATACATATCTGTTTCCTTATAAAAGAATAGATTTTAATAAATTTTATTACTCTATGATGTCATATGTTCATATAGCTGCTAAGCAATAACAAATAATTCAATAAGTTTTGCTAAAAAAAAAGTATTTTGCTTAGTTAATTATATTCTATACAGTATACATATTAATTGGATTGTTTGGTTTTGCTGGTATTTAATTACGACAACATAAAACATTTAACTTAAACACAAATTGGACCCATACTTATAAGATAAACATATTCTTTCCCCTTATGACATATAATACTATAAATACTTGATATACTCTCAAAAAAATAATTTTACACTTATGATCTGTTACGTTCATTTCAATAGCCAAAGCTACACTATGCAGATTTCCATATGCATATTGCTAAATTGCCAGCACAATACATATACAGAAGGTGTTTCAATTGATAAGTGATCTCAAAGCCATAGCCTTCTCCAACAACAGTATGCCATGATGCACCAAACTTCTTGTCCATTGTTTCTTTAATCATTCGCGAGACACTTTCATAGTTGTCTGCATACTTTTCTGCTGCAGTCACACATAATTCCATTGCTTCTTGTTTCATCTCATCAGACATATCACATTTCTGTTAATAAAGGAAAGGAAGAAATCTATGATTAAAAAGCAATTTTTAAAAATGTTTTACTAAATACTTTGTATACACTTAAAAATAAAGATTTATATTTCTAAATAATTCTTGCTTTAATTAATATGCAGAGATTTATACTTTATTCAGTGTTTTTGAAATTGTATTCCTACAGCAATAAGATAGATTATTGAAAGAAACGCATAAAGGAATAAAAATAGATTAAATAGAATTAAGAACTTTAATATACATGTGTGTAAAAGTAGCTTGCATGTGACTTACATTTTGCTACATATTATATCGAATAAAATGTAAGAACAAATTTTTGTATGGTATATATATTGAAAATTTTTAATTAGAAAAACCAATCGCACTGACGTAAAGTGAACGCGTAGCGAAGCTTGTACTTCTATTATTGATCAAATACCATTGGCGTCTATTTGCGCAACGAGTTCTAATAAAATTAATATAGCGTACGAAGAACATTTTACTTACTCTACAAAGTGGATAGGTATGAAGAATTTTTACAACATCATCTTTCCGCACTTCGGTCATTATTACAATTTTATAAGTAAATTGTGCCCTTAATGATGCTAATACGACCACTTGCACGATGGAACGGTTGCAGTTTCTCAGGCGCAAGTCAGTGAGTCATGTGACAAGGAAAACACATTATCATCATAAGTCCGTTCTACGCACAAAAGGGAGATAAAATACGGTACCTCAGAAAAATTCAAATTTAAACTAAAGATAAACATTTACATACACATATAAAACACATGTAGAAGAAAAAACTCGAGAGAATCCGAATCTGAATAAAGAAGAAATAATCTATCGAGTGTGAAGTGGTTTATTGCACTAGGTTGATTAACATATTTCTTAACCTTTTTTCATGTAAATAATTCTGAACATTATTTTTAACTCAAACGTATGTATAAATTGCAGTACAAAAAATATATTATAGATTTATAGAAATTAAAATACTCAGTTTCTTTGATAGTTAATCCAGACATAGTAAAGAGGTTAATTTCTCTTGATATTATGACTTATGTTTATTGTCGAATAATTTTTAAAAACAGTTACGTTTATATCATTTAAAAAAATTAAATAATGGTAGTTTATATTAATAAGGAGAATACTTATATATAGAAGGATAATTGTGAGAAAGCTTTATCACATATCACTTATCTCTATTGTTATATGAACAGAAAATATTTGCACAAGAGTCAATTACAAGAGAAATTTAATAAAAATGACATCAAGATTTAGTGGAGCACTACAGATTACAAATTTGGATGACTTTATCACTCCATCTCAGGTACAATAATCAACATTATTTTGAATAAAATATAATTAGACTTTTATTTTTTATTTTAAATTATATTTTGCTATTGTAGGAATGTATTAAACCAATAGAAATGAAATCAAGTGGAAGTAAAACTGGATCTAAAATAAAAATACAATCTGATAATGCAATCAATGAAGTAAGTTGTTACAATATTAACTTTATTAAAATATATTTACAATTTGAAACTGTTTTAATAAAGTTTATTTTATATATAGATTGAACGACCTGAAAAATTGCAAAAGGTTGAGATCACACTTGCAGACTGTTTAGCATGCAGCGGTTGCATTACATCTGCTGAAAGTGTACTAGTTACTCAACAAAGTCAAGAAGAACTACTCAGAGTATTTCAGGAAAAAAAAAACCAACAGGTAACAAATTTCACTATGTAATAACAATATTTAAATGTATAAATGTTCTGATCAATGCAAGAAAGAATTTTTTGACATTCAGATAATTTTGACATTAGAGATTAGAGAGATATAATATTATTAACATTATTAAGTAATATTATTATAATCATTAATTTCTTAATGAGTATTTCTTTCACAAACATTTATCTATAGATAATCTATTATTATTAAACTCTAAAAAATTAAAAATACGTGTATGATATATATATATATGTATATATATATATATATATATATATATATATATATATATATATATATATATATATATATA